GCCGTCTGCTGGACTTTGTATTTCAGAATACAAATTAAAAATAAATTATACAATACATGTAATCACAGTAAAAACAGTAAATATATATATATTCCACTAATTTTGGTGACCTCCATGGGCCCCAGCAGGAGGGACCAGAGCCCCCTTTGGTTTCCCCCTAATTCTTTAGTTCCTCCTACAGTTTATTAACTCAGAGCTCCACCATCAGTCAGAGCTGGAGAAGCTTCTTGGCCGAACATCATATTTTTACATTGTAGGACAAATATTTTACATTGTAGAGTAAAAAAAACTGTCCCACATTATGGGTTAAAAAAAATTAAATATCACACATTGTGGAGGGCAAAAAATGTAAATAATCCACAGTATGGGGTAAAAACTGTAAATATTGCACATTGTGTATATATATATTATATTATGTATATTTTTTTATTATTATCATATATAAAATATACAAATGTGACATGCGTATTTTTACACACACATATTTGTAAATACGTTTGGTTTATTCCCATTTTGGCACCACGGCCCTTCCGTACTAACTTACAGCGGCCGGTGTCCTTGGGTTTACATTGGAGGTTTGTCCCGCCTCCTGGCCCGGTAACGTCCCGTGATTGGCTGAACATCGTGACATTTACCGTCCGACGTAACATCCGCGGTTTTGATTGGTCGACACCTTCTGGGTCTTCCGTTGTTACCGCCCTCATTCCGGCAGAGGACAGGCTAAAGATGGCGACGTCACTGAGGTGCTTTCTCCGCTCAGGAAAGGTTGGAAATGTTTCAAATATCCTTCCAGACGTCGTTTGGTTCTTGTTGACAGCTAACGCCAGTGCTGGTGTCTGTTTCCCCGCAGAATGCCGTCCTGGTCCTGGGTCGGCGGGGCTTTCACGGGAGCTCTCCGGCCGCTGTGCAGGTCAGTGTTAGCCGCTAACAAGCTAGCCGTTAGCTAGCCGTTGGCTAGCTTGTTAGCTAGCTGCGGTGATTTCTGCCGCATGGGAATGTTTTGATCCAAAGGTCACAGTCTGTCCGGGTTAACTGAGTGTGTTTATAAAGTCCTGGGCCGCTGTGGAGCAACTTTACTTTGTCATTTTGAGCTGTGGAGGTCACTGGGGACAGATGCGGGCTGCTGTGTAACGTTGGCCCGCATCTGTGACAGGTGTTAGCCGCTGTTTGGTGAAGCCACCTCTGGTGTTAGAACATCTGGAAACCTGAATCTGTTTGGCTTGTTATTTATCATTTTCTATGTAGAACCACACATTAGGTCGTTCAGTCAAAGTGAGAGCTAGAAAGGAGTAACAATTCGCTTGAAAATCACTTAAAAATGGAGAAAAACTAAATAAAAAAAGGGGGCAAAACTACAAAAATAACCCAAGTTATGTATTTTTATATGTAATATATTCATGTCTGGGAGCACTATGATGGAAAAAATTATTGAGAAAGATCAAGCTTATGAGTTTAAGTCTTTTTAGTGTTTTTGTAATTCATTAAAATTAGTGTTATCAAATAGGAAACACAGGATAACTTTCGAAATGATTAAAGGGTTGATTTTAGTTCTTTTTTTGTTCATTTCTTGGATGCTAGCGGCAGCAAAGTGAGCACTAAATCCTTTTAATTCCAATTAAAGTTGGTATCTCATCAGGAGCCATGTTTTTTATGTCTTTGAAGACTCAGTCTGACTCCCTGGCCTTTTTTAAACTGTAGATAAACAGCACATGCTTATTTAAACATTTGTTTTCATGTCCCTTAAATGTTTAGGAAATCATTTACATTTTGTATTACATTTCAAAATATCAAAATCCTTCAGTTTTGAAACTGTTATGAAGCAAAGCCGCATTGAAGGTGATTGAAAGGTGAAGGGAGTTGTTTTATTTATGGTGTAAACTACTCATTAAGTGACTCAGCACATCTGAATATGTTGCTTTAGTTCAGCAGTATCTCATAAAGACAATGAGATGAGCAAGAAAACCAAATACTTTTTAGAGGATCACGCGTTTTTAGAGGCTAATAGTTTCTGAGGGAGTGAAAAAAGGCCTTCGGAGGATAAGAAGCTGCGTCTCTGCTGCCAGGTGACGGTCCGAGATGCCCTGAACACGGCGATGGACGAGGAGCTGGAGCGGGACGAGCGCGTGTTCCTGATGGGGGAGGAGGTGGCCCAGTACGACGGCGCCTACAAGGTGAGAGGGGGCCACAGAAAAGCAGCTCCAGGCTAGAGATGTCCCATCCAGCCTTCTGCACTTCTATCCGATACCGATCCCGGCCTATCAGAGCATGTATTAAAGTTATATAAAGTTATTTATCTACTTAGTTCGTTGTCAGACTCATGTTGAACAGGGATTTACTCTGGTAACAACTTAATGGTTAGGACACAGACCTGTGGGTTAGCAGATGCTAATGCTAATAAAACTGGATCTGGAGTCTGGATCTGCATTTTCTCCTGCCGGCCGATACGCATTTTTTTGCAAATATCAGATCGGGAAAAGCCTATTCTGAGCAGCTAATCCAGATCACAGCTCAGAGTCTGTAAAAGGAGCCGATAACAGGTGGGAAGTGTCCTTTTGTAGAGACAATTACAGGGAAAAAATGGTAAAAAGCCTTCAAAATGTGTGGAGCTGGTATTTTTTATGCAATTTGTTGCCTGTGTTAAATTTTTTAAGGGTAATTTCTGTCCTTTTAACCCCTCATTTTAACTCCTGGTGGCGTGTGCAGGTGAGCAGGGGTTTGTGGAAGAAGTATGGAGACAAACGCATCATCGACACTCCGATCTCAGAGGTGAGACTCAACTTTAGCCAGATATAAGCTAATTACAGTTTACTACTTTACCCAGCTATAACTTATTTTGTTTAATACTTTAACCGTTATAACTTATTTTGTTTACTACTTTAACCAGTTATAACTTATTTTGTTTACTACTCAAGCCACTTATAAGCTAATCATAGTTTACTACTTTATCAGTTATAAGATACTTTTTGTTCACTATTTTAACCAGTTATAAGCCTTTGTTACATACTCTTCTGTTTTTCTACATTGCACAGTATCCACAATCTGTTATTTGTATTATATTTATACCTTGTTTACTGGAATTCCATTAGTTTTTTTTGCACATTAACATATATTTGATAGTTTCTACTTATTCTCTTAATTTTTCTTATATTAAGAGTTATTTCTAATTTTTACTGTGTTGTCTGGGATTATGAGAGCAGAACATGTCTGAGTGTGTATTCCTGGACTGAGAGTAAAGTCGACTTTTACGTGGCTTTTAGTAGAAACTGTTCATTGTGGGACTCTTGTGTCCAGATGGGGTTTGCTGGCATCGCCGTGGGAGCCGCCATGGTGAGTTCCTGCTTTCTCCTCCGCCCAGAAGGGCCACATTTGACCCCCTTTTGGGGCCTTTAACAGCAGAACCTCTACATACGAATTTAACTAACTTCCTATGTTAGAATATTTGTATGTTGGATCAAATATTCCCATCAGAATACATTGTAATTCCTATAATTCGTTCCAAAAACCTACGATGACTCCTTAATAAATACTGCAGATAATTACACATAGCAATAAGACAAATGCATTATATAAGAGAGATGTAAAAATAAATAAATTGTTAAGAAATAATTAATAAAAAGTGTTTTCATTGGCAGGTAGAGACTGAGATACAGGACGTACCCTAACTTACTCTTACTCTGAACTTTAAACTAACTTGGCTTATTTATTGTTATTTCATTTTATGTTTTTTTCTATTTTTCTGACTTTTTAAAAATCTAACTTACATTACGTTAACTTTAAACTAACTTAGCTGATTTATTGTTATTTAATTTTATATGTGTTTTTTTAAAACTTTTAAAAATCTAACTTACATTGCGTAAACTTTAAACTAACTTATTTATTGTTATTTAATTTTATACGTGTTTTTTTAAAACCTTTTTCAAATTTAACTTACATTACGTTAACTTTAAACTAATCTTATTTATTTATATTTCATTCTTATATTTTATTCCCTAACCCTTTTCCTTTTTTTTTTAAATCTAACTTTCACTCCGTAAACTTGAAACCAACTAATTTTTATTTTTTATGCATTTTTTTCTATGATTTTGACGTTTGTTGGAAATTTACTTTGGTTGTCGAGTCGAATATTTGATCCAATTTAATTTCAGAAGTTGGGAAATTCTTATATGTATATATATTTATATATATATATATATATATATATATATATATATATATGTATATATATATATAGAGGTTGTGCTAAGTCCCGCCTCCCTCCTGATTCTGTCCGCAGGCCGGCCTGAGGCCCATCTGTGAGTTCATGACCTTTAACTTCTCGATGCAAGCCATCGATCAGGTCATCAACTCGGCGGCTAAAACCTACTA